GGCTTTCTATAGTATTTTAATAAAAAGTAGCAATTAAGAAAGAAAAAACCACCAATGCAGTAAGTTGCTGTTCTTATGTTTGCTATGGAGGAGGTAACAAGAATCTCTCTGCAAGTGCGATATGGCTTTTAAAATATTTTTTAAAGTTAGAATTTGACTTTGAAAGCATTAAAGTGACAGTGCTGACTGAAATCACAGAAATTCCTTCAAGGCTACTCAGGCAATTCTATGTATATGTGGCTAAAAATATATACATCTGCTGTACCTAGACTGAAATACATTAGTGAGATATTTTGCATTAGGAAACTTGACCAAAGAAGCCCAGGGAGACAGGTCAATAACAGCCATCAGAAAGGTCAACAGGTTTTAGCTGTTGCTGTTTATGACTGGTTTTAAAACAGGGACAGAGAATTTTTCCAGTAACAAGCTTTTGAGCTCTGCCTTGTCTCGAAGCGAAACATAGAAACCCATTGAGAGGTATGGAAATTGATTCAGCCATGACCTTTTCTAAAACTCTCTCAGCCTGTGATGACCCCTTTAAATGGAAACATTTGCTTGCTCAGAAGGATGGAAGCCGCTTTTTCAGGTGTGCCTACTGTGGTGTGCTTTTATATTTTTGACATTTTACTCTCTGTATTTTTTTTTTTTATCTTCAGGGGATGAATGGGTCTGATGCTTTGTCATAGTTGTCAGTTTGACTTGCATCCCTCGCTCCTTTCTGCATCGCAGTCACTCACATGGCTCAACCCTCATTTCTGTCAGAGCAACATTAGTCAAATAGTCATTTTCCTCTTACTTTCCACAGCTAAGTTCAAAGTAGGAGCAGAGAGCGCTTTTTTCTTCATCCTCGCAGTCATCACTTTATAAAGTAAATGCTGAAAGTGAAAGGTTTCCTCAAACACATGATTTTTTCCTCAAACACATGAATCTGGATTATTGGTTAAGTGAACATGAATGCTGGGTTCTTCCACTGATGTGTTTACGTCTGGCTGGTGCAGTCACTCACTTGTGTGCAATAGGATCAGGTAACCTATGTCATTATAGATTGGTTTGGGTTGGAAGCGGCCTTGAAGATCATCTAGTTCCAAACCCCCCTGCCATGGGCAGGGATGCGTCTCACTAGGTGAGGTTGCTCAAAGCCTCATCCAGCCTTGCCTTGAACACTTCCAGGGATGGGGCATCCACAGCTTCTCTGGGCAACCTGTGCCAGTGCTTCACCACCCTCTCCAGGAAGAACTTCTTTCTGATATCTAATATAAATCTGTTTCTGTCATTGGTCCTCAGCTGGGTCTGGTGGGACAATCCCTGGAAGTGTTGACACCCATGTGAAGCACAGCTGCCCCCAGTAGCTCTGGCACTTGCCTGGTTTCAGGGTAGGCAATTTCCTGATGACTCAGGTGGACAATCCCACCCATCACAGGGGCGGACATAGAGCCTGCACAGAAGAAAGGTCAGGTCTTCTGCTGACCAGGACTAAGCAGCCTTTGGTCAGCCAAGGCTGCTGCGGCAGGTTGACTATCACCTGGGAGGAGGGGAAGGGGGTGAAAGAGAGGACTCAAAAATTTAACCTATGTGCCATGTATGTGCTATCAGCAGCCTCCCTTGAAAGCCAGTGCTTGTTTTTGTGTGAAGCAATAACAGCCTCATTTCTGGACCATCATTTATATCTTGAGTTAAGACTTGTTCTTTTTTCCTTCCCTGGTAGAAACCTGTGCTTAATTTGTTTTTAAATGTTGTACAGTAATTACTTTATTTAAATGAAACATCTGACAAACTGGTTCTTCATCAAATTTGTCACTTACTCTGCTATTTCTTTTTTAACCTGGACTTTACAATGAACTCTAAGCTTGAGTGTAAGTCATCAGTAGAACATGGGAGAAGAGAAACTATTTACTAAATTGCTAGATTTCATTATGCATACATGGATGAAAACGCAACAGAACAGGCAGATTTTTATCTGCTGGTTTGTTTTGATGCAAATTTATAGACTGATTCAATCCTTTTTACACACAGTTCTCAAGAGAAAAAAACAAGTTCAAATAGGTAACAGTTCAAGCTTTTCACAATGCAATGTCCCAAAAATTCACTCACAATAAGCAACAATTTCCTCCATAAACTCTCTAGTGGACTTTGTTCATGGGCAACAAAGCACCACTTTTTGTGCTTACATTAGGGTTTAATCAAGAGAACATTCAGTCAACTAAACATTTACTGATTTGGAGGAATGACTTTTGTGATCCTAAACCTTCCTCATCCTAATCTGGGAGGAGAGGTGAACACTACCTTTCAGAGACTAAATGGCATGCTATTCAGCATCTCCAGTTCAGCTGAAGTAAATTTCATGTTTCATAAACATAAAATTATGAGCCTCTTGACTCTCTGTCCTATTCCTGCT